CACGATGAATAGGGTTGGGTTCACGTTGACGGAAAGGGGGGGGTCCAAGCGTCTCGTATTTATGCATAGGCTTAGTGAATGTCAGCATGTTTCATCTCCTTTGGGGATAGTGCAATCAGCTTTATTCCCAACAAGGTAGAACACTTGTCTGCTCCGAGACTACCTCGGTTGGGGAAAGCTTGTTCCCTCCCTGTTCCTGGACTCGAAGTGACATATAACCGTACTTTGCGTCGTAATCACCTCTACCAGTAAAGCACGATAGAGTATCCTCCGCAAAGCGATTCACCGTCCACACTAGCAATCCGCAAGATGAAGATTGATGTGCACCACCACTTCTACCCCCAAGCCTTTCGCGAGGGTAAGTACGCTTCCCTATCTTCAGGTGAAATGACAAAGCCATAATGTACGTCATCAGCCCTGGAAGCAGCCGGGGGTGACCCCTCGGGCTGGTACATTCCGCCGTGGACACTGGAACTCGACCAGGAGATCAACGCAACCCTCAACGTAACCACGACCATCCTCTCCGTGACAGCCCCCGGCCCGGTGATAGCCAAGGAGCCAGCTGCGGCGGCGTCACTGGCGCGGGAGTGCAACCGCTCCGCCGCCGCCATCCGCGACGCCGCGCCCGCCCAATACGGGTTCTTCGCCTCGGTGCCCTCGCTCTTCGACACGGCGCTTGCCCTCGAGGAGATCCGCTACGCGCTGGACGAGCTCCACGCCGACGGAGTTACCCTCTTCACCCGCTACGGCCAGGGGCCCAACTACCTGGGCCACGAGGCGTTTGCCCCGATCTGGGCGGAACTCAGCCGGCGGCAGGCGGTGGTGTTCATCCACCCAACGCACCCGCAGGATACGGCGCTGATCAACCGCGCCCTGCCGCAGCCGATGTTCGACTACCCGCACGAGACGGGGCGCACCGCGATGGATTTGCTGACCTCGGGGCGGCTGCGCCAGCACCGCGGCTGTCGCGTCATCCTCTCCCACGCGGGCGGCACCTTGCCCTACCTCATCCACCGCGCCGCCACCATGCTCCCTTGCATGCCCCCGGACCGCAACATCGGCCTCAGCCGCGACGAGATCCTCGACACCGCCCGCGAGGTCTTCTACTTCGACACCGCCATCTCCGCCAACGAGGTCACCCTGTCCGCGTTGGCCCGCTTCGCCAAACCGGGCCATATCCTCTTTGGGAGCGACTTCCCCAATGCGCCCCGGGATGCCATTGTGCAGTTTACTCGGTTCGTGGAGGAGGAGGCCGCCGCGTTGCCGGATGGAGTTACGGTGGAGGCGCTGAAGGAGAATGCGCTGCAGTTGTTTCCCCGCCTAAAGCGGGCGGAGGCCAGTGGTGTTTCCAGGATTTAGTATGGGAATGACTGTCTTGGCGCCCTCGTAAACCTGTTTATGCAAGAACGAAGAATCTATTCGTGCTCTGTGTATGGTTTAGTCACATCATAGTTTATTCATTGGCTTCTTGGTTGTGAAATGCAACGATTACCTAAGGGTTGTGGATGCCCCGCAGTTACCGGAAGGAGTTGTCTGCTGCCTATCCGTTTAGGGTTGGTTGTCTCGTTCTGCCCCGATTACTCGGTACCTCCGTCTCTCCCCGTTTGGATGGATGATTGTCCTGTACCACAGCACTTCCTCCCTTGCTGAAATTTTTGAGCCTCCTTAGAGTCTCAATAAGTGAACGGAGCTGTCCTACGCAAGAAAGGAGGTACCCTCTCCAATGCACACTGGCCGTCTCTACTCATCCCAATTCGGTGTGAAGACGCGAACCTCCGAGATCGTACGGGTACATATTAGGGCATCCTGATTTGTGCATTACCCATTTGGGATATCTGCAGGCTGCAGGGCTCCAGGCTGGCTGCCACACACCCAGCGGGGTCGCGTTTCCCCCTTGAAGGATGAATTTCTGTCGCCAACGAGGGCGCAACTAGATAAACCAAGATCTCCACTAGCTCACAGCGTGGTTTCTATTCTTGTGTTTCTCCTCGCTAGCCAGTTTTCACAGCTGAAACACCCCGACAAGATGCAACCGATCGTGTGGCTGCTGGGTGGGGCGATAGCCCTCCTCGTGGTTGTCCTCCGTGCAGCCTGGACCTATGGACACCGAACCAAGGACATGCCTAGCGGTGAGTTGGCTGTTCTGTCCACCTGCTCGCTTATTCTTACCTCCAAACACTTACTCGATCTGCAGGGCCTCCGACACTACCCTTCATTGGCAATGCGCATCTCATCCCCAAGTCTTACACGCACATTCAGTACGTCTAGCCCTCCACCCCGGAATCTGCGGGACACAACAACATAACGGAAAGGAGAGAAAGAAAGAAACAAACCACTAATGCATCAAGATTCACCGCCTGGGCCCGCCAGTATGGCGGCCTGTACATGCTCAAGGTGGGCAACAGCAACATGGCGGTGGTGACCGACCGCCGCATCGTCAAGGAAGTGCTGGACAGCAAGAGCTCGCTGTACAGCCACCGACCGCATTCGTTCGTCTCACACGAGCTCATCACTCAGGGCGACCACCTGCTGGTGATGCACTACGGCCCCAAGTGGCGCACCTTCCGCCGCCTGGTGCACCAGCATCTGATGGAGTCGATGGTCGACAGCCAGCACCTGCCCATCGTCAACGCCGAGGCCATCCAGCTGGTGCGCGACTACATGCTCGACCCGGCGCATCACATGGCCCACCCGAAGCGGTTTAGCAATAGCATCACGAATTCAATTGGTTTGGTCCCTTCTCCTCCCCTTCCCTTCCCCTTCCCTAACCCCGCTTTACTGCGAAGGCGGGGATTCCGCTTGATGGTTTGTGCTCATACAGTAAACGCCACATAGCTGACATCTCCCAGTATTCGGCATCCGCACGGCCGACCGCCACGGCAGCAACATGAACCGGCTGTACACGTTGATGGAGCAATGGTCGGAGATCATGGAGACGGGGGCCACGCCGCCCGTGGACATCTTCCCGTGGCTGAAGCGGCTGCCGGAGGCGCTGTTCGGCCACTACGTGACGCGGGCGCGGGCGATCGGCGCGCAGATGGAGACACTGTACGAGAACATCCTGCAGCGGGTGGAGAAGCGCCGCGCCGGCGGGGTGCACCTGGACACCTTCATGGACCGGGTGATTGCGTCCCAGGACCGCAACCAGCTGCCGCGGCACCAGCTGGCCTTTATCGGGGGCGTGCTGATGGAAGGCGGGTCGGACACCAGCTCCAGCCTGACACTCGCCATCGTGCAGGCCCTCACCCTGAACCCGGAGGTGCAGCGCAAAGCCCACGCCGAGATCGACGCGGTCGTCGGCCACACCCGCTCCCCCGTCTGGGACGACCTCGCCCGGCTGCCGTACATCAACATGATCATCAAGGAGGGCCACCGGTGGCGGCCGATCCTGCCGCTGTGCTTTCCGCATGCCCTGGGCCAGGATGATTGGGTGGACGGCAAGTTGCTGCCCAAGGGGACGATGGTCGTCGTCAACACTTGGGGGATGCATATGGATCCGGACCATCGGCTGAACCAGAAGTATGATCCTGCGAAGTTCGTGCCCGAGCGGTTCGCGGAGCATCCTGCGCTGGCGCCGGAGTATGTGCCGGGTGCGTGGGAGAATCGCGATCACTATGGGTATGGGGTTAGTCGGCGGATCTGTCCGGGGATTCACCTGGCGGAACGCAATATGTTTCTGGCGATTGCGAAGCTGCTGTGGGCGTTTGAGTTCCAGCCGGGTAGTGAGGGGGAGACGTGTGATAGCGACCCGGTGACGGGGTATCAACATGGCTTTCTGTACTGTGCTAAGCCCTACGGCACTCGACCGGTGCTTCGCAGTGAGAGTATACGGGAGACGGTCGAGCGCGAGTTTGCCCTGGCACAACGGGAGGTGTTTTCGACATTCACGGAGGGGTGAGGGTGGGATTGTTGGGTGGAGGTTCATGGGATCTCGACATCTTCCGGTCTAGTTTTGTGGGAATTGTGCTTGTCTCGCTTTGCTTTGTTGTATTTCTTTGACTTCCGTCTATTCACAGCCTTGTTCATGAAATTGCCATCTCGCCCTCCATATTTATTGGACCAATAAGCGTAGACTTTCTCTGTACAGCACGGGATGCCTTGTATGACAAAAAAAAATGTTAATATCCGCTAAGATGAAGTTTCCCGTGGATGGCAGCGAACATAAATCACATTCACTGAGCGCTGGCCACGGAATTATGCCCTGTGAATAAAGAATCAACTGACATTTCTCATGAAACCGCACAAGATGTTGTTGTATAAAAGCCAAAGTAGCTGGATGATCGATAACTTGATAGCCCCACGTCCATAGTTGACACTTCAGACAAACAAACTGTTGTAAACAGAGACCAACCATGGAGAGACCAATCAGCACGACACCCATCCTCGACCAAGCGCTCACATGCGTGCAGTCATACAAAGCGCTCGCGGCAACCGCCCGAGAGCTCGCCAGCCCGGAGCTACAACGCAGCATCGAAGAGGGGCTCGCGCAGTTCCTGACCCACATGCCTGAGTTCAACATCTTAATCAACCCTGTCGACCCCCCGCACGCGTCGTGGGACTACCTCCTGCGCAACGACGCCAGCCAACGCGGCGAGATGACCATGCTCCTCATGGAGCTGCAGTGCGAGATCGACCAGATGGCCTTCGCGATCCGTCAAGCGATGCAGCAGCAGCAGCAGCAGCACCCCGAACCCGAACCCCTGAGTAACAACAGCCGCCTTGTGGACGCGTGGATGGAGAACCTGCGCAGCGTGGAGGACCACACGGTGTGGCGCCTGGCGTTCTGGCGGCGCGACCACGCGATGCACACGAGCTACCCCACCACCAACCCGCTGGTCAACCAGTCCTTCTACTTCGCGATCCGCAACGAGCTGGGCCTCGACGTCTCCACGCAGTTCCGCGAGTGCATCCGCGGCGCCATCACCCAGGAATGCCCGAGCATCACCGCGCGGCCGGCCCTCCTCCGCCGACTGGTCGATCTAGTCGTCCAGCGCCGACGGTTCTGGAACTTCCAGCGCCGCATCCGCGGGCTCAGCAAGGACGCCGTGCTCTGGGGGCGGGACGCGTCGGCACCGCCACCTTTTGCCCAGGGGGACGAGCGCTTCACCTGCCCGTTCTGCTTCTTCGACCTCCCCGTCGCGCCCTACCGGACCCCGCGCGCGTGGACGGACCACGTGATGAGCGACCTGGAGGGCTACGTCTGCCTGTACGAGACGTGCTCCTCCACCCGCGCCTGGCCCGAGGCCTGCCCGCACGCCTGCACCTCCTTCGGCGCCTGGTTCGCCGCCATGGCCGGCAGCTTCGCCGAGGGCGTCGAGTGGTGCAGCCACGCCTTTGCCTGTGACGGCCGCCGGCTGGAGGAGGTCCACCGCCCGCGCTGTGCCGCGCCCGCCGTCAGGTTGGACAGTGTCTGTCCGCTGTGTGGAAGGGAGCCGGCCGTCGAGGAGACGCAGCTGCGTGTGGCGGGTCCGGCGGACCTCCCGCTGAATGATGGCCAGGACCGCGCCAAGGCCAGGCTGTTGCTGTCGCATATCGCCGGCCATCTGGAGGTGATCGCGCCGATGGCGTTCACGTGGAATACAGATCGGAATGCCCTCGATCCGGATCGGCGGCTGTTTTGGGGGCGCATTGGGTCGCCTGGGAGTGCTGGAGGGTCGGCGTGAGGTTGAAGTGGCTGAACGAGAGAGAATTCTGGAGTTTCCGGTTGGTCTGGACTGGACATATTGGGATTACTGTTTTGCATAGATGATTAATCACTCAGTTGTCTTTTTTCTTTTTTTTCCCTTAGAATCCAAATTGGAAAGCTTGATGGCACTAAGAGACCACAGGTTAGTAGCGTCGGTTCGGAGACTTGGACCATGTTGTCGTCGACGGATCCATGTCTATGCGTTATAATGCCATCACAAGGATTATTCGGCACGGCATGATCTTCCCGTACTGATGTGGAAGCAGGACCACCACGAGATTTTAAAATGACAAACGAAATTGTTCAATAAATGTGAAAAAAACCCTTCCTGGAAAGACCCTCCTATGACAGGCAGCTCAAAGCCCGCCAGCTAGCCACACCATCGGAGACATAATTTTCTCTCGGAGGAATGCACGCCCCGCAGCCAGACCTTAAAGCCATTTCAGAGCACCGAGATCGGAGGCTTGCTGATTGATATGATTGATATGATTGATATCGTCCGAACCCATAGGCAGTCCTGAGCGAGTTGCCGACCAAATCTGCCGCACCCGGAGGCTTGCTTCCTACATCGGGTAATCTGCGGCCGATCTTGGGTCCAGACACCCTGCTACGGTGCTACCCCAATTTTTAATTGATCCTTCCCCTGTCGAAGGTCTGGCCAAATCGCAGCGTTGGAATTATATAAGCGGAGCACACAATTCCCGCGGTGCAGGAAATTCCCAAAGTCCGAGGGTTCCCTGCGGCGATCGCGCAGATTTTATACCGCATTATCGCAGGGTCTGGTGGAGCTGGAGCCCTTTGCGAGCTGGTGCGGTAGGGAACGATGACGAATCGTCTCCGTTTATTTCTTCTTTAGTCAAATATTGCCCCACTTGATGCCGATTACAAACGCAAGTCTAATGACCCTGAAAACCTAATTGCGCGGGATGTTTGCGTTGATGGCAGTTGATGACTGGGGTTATGAGTGTTCTGGTACCAAGTACAAGCTGTCACATCGTGATAGATGCGGTGAGACGCCTTTATCTTACGATGATAGTAGCTTTTTCTACATCCTTAGACACCATCAGCCACTCAATGACCGAAAGAAAGGTCTTCGTGCAGGGGATTGGGGTAAGGTCTGCATTGAGTTCAATGATCTGCGCTCATTGACCGGCTCACATCTCTTAGCTGCACAATTCAAATCCGGCGGCCAATAGTCGACGCCACGGAGTTTAGATCTGCATTCTACTAAATCCGATGCAATCCTACCGAGTCCCTTTTGGGGACTGCAGCCACGTCCAAGCCACTTGATATTGCCGACCGGCTGACGATGAGCGCAGGCGACTGACTTAGCGGATATGTCGTGTGCGACTGGTCCCCCCTTGTTATATTGCCAAAAACGCCGCATATCCACCCGCCGCATGTCTAGCCAATACAACAAGGGATCCGTAGAGTGGTCCATGGAGTCGTACCCACTTGATTGAGGAGATTGAAGCCATCGCAAGATTTGAACCTGCGCAATATGATCTCCCACCATACCAGCCGAGTGGGCGAGCCGAGTGGGCGCGCTTATCCCCTAGCTGTCACACTCGGCACGGAGGCGTCCAGCTTGCTGGGTACAAGATCGGCCTGATCCCCGTCCGCGTTGTCACAAGGGAATAATTCCCGTCAGCCAGGGGAATCCTTTCGCAAATCGCTGATTGAAGATGTTGCTTCCATCCTTCTCTGTAACAGGGGTTGCTACTGCCCTTGTGTTGCTCAACGCTGTGCATGCATCTCAACCTGGGTCGTCCGTACAAAAGTCCCGAGCCTATGACCGGTTTTCCGGCCGTTCTGTGAGAAATCATGCTCCCAGAACTCAGTCGAGCAACACTTCTACCTACCGATTCTGGAATGATCGGACTAAGCGTATGCAATCCTACCCCACCTGAAGATGAACCTTATTCGCGACTGACGTACTGTGCCATTGCATCCGCATAGCCCACTTGGTAGAAAGCTTGCCAGACGTCCACTTCGACCTGGGCGAGATGTACTCGGGTTCGATTTCCATTAGCTCACACCAGAATGAATCCCGGTCTCTATTCTACATCTTCCAGCCCAAGATTGGCGAACCGTCAGACGATTTGACCATCTACCTCAATGGAGGACCAGGGTGCTCTTCCGAACAGGCCTTCTTCCAGGAGAATGGACGGTTCACGTGGCAGCCGGGCACATATGCTCCAGTCATTAATCAGTATTCATGGGTCAACCTGACAAACATGTTATGGTACGTTGTTGCCAATGCATCGAGGGCCAAGTGACGCCGCCTGCAGTGAGCAGGTCGCCCCCTCGGGCTTCATCCCCAGCAAACGAACGCACTCCGATGCTAATGGAAGTCGCAGGGTCGACCAACCGGTAGGAACTGGGTACTCCGTGGGCACACCAACCGCGACCAACGAAGCAGAAGTGGCCGCGGACTTTCTCGAGTTCTTCACTAAATTTCAGAATCTGTACGGCATCAAGAACTTCCGCATCTTCGTGAGCGGCGAGAGCTACGCGGGACGGTATGTGCCCTACATCTCCTCGGCGATGTTAGACAAGAACGACACCACCCACTTCAACCTCAGCGGTAAGCCGACTCACCCCCTCCATTACCTCGCACACTCTAATATGCCGCCCACAGGAGCCCTCCTATACGACGCTTGCATCGGCCAGTGGGACTGGGTCCAAGCCGAACTCCCCGCGTACCCCTTCGTCCAGCAACACGCCTCGCTCTTCAACTTCAACGAGACCTTCATGGCCTCGCTAGCCACCACCTACGAAGAATGCGGCTACCAGGCCTACTTCGACGAATACTTCACCTTCCCTGCCGCCGGCATCCAACCACCCAAGTACATGAACTACTCGGAGTGCGACATCTACAACGCAATCTACTACGAAGCCTTCACCCCGAACCCATGCTTTAACCCCTACCGCATCATCGACGAGTGTCCCCTGCTGTGGGACGTGCTGGGCTTCCCGACTGATCTGGCCTACGAGCCCGCGCCGAGCACCTACTTCAACCGCGCGGACGTCAAACGCGCCCTGCACGCGCCCCACGACATCGAATGGGAGCTGTGCAGCACCGACCCCGTCTTCGTGGGCGGGGACGCCGTCTCCGGGCCCGAGCAGCAAGGCGACGACTCGCCCAACCCGACCGAGGGGGTCCTGCCGCGCGTCATCGAGGCCACCAACCGCGTGCTCATCGCCAACGG